ATTACAATATCTAATATCTTAATATCTTAATCTTAATTTAATATCTAATAAAATTCAGGAATTACATAAAGTGAAAAAATTTTTCTGAAACACTAAAGATGTTAAATATATAAAAAGTATAGTTCTTGTACTATTTAACTTTTTTTGATATATGATAAAATTGGTAGAATACTGGCAGGCATTGAAATTTAACGAACGATTTTTGGTAAATGCATTTATCATACTTTGACAGACATACAATCAAAAAAAAATGTAACAAAATTTTTGAAGAATCATTATATTAAAACTTATGAATGTTGTGACTTTCTGATTTCATGTTTAGAAAAATTCATGTTTAGAAAAACGTAGAATATTATTTATAATTGTCAATACAGTAGCTTATTCTTTTTACAAGCAATATTCTTAAAATATTGAAAGCAATCCATCATCTTATTCTTTTTATCATAATTTTTTAAATTTTAATTGTAGAAGAGATTTTAACGTTTAATCTTAACTAGTTTATTTGCCTTTATAATCATTATGTTTTCTCAATTTCAGATTTAAGAAAACTGTAAGATATTATTTATTGTGTAAGAGAACTTAATATAGATTATTATCAATTAACACATCTCTTTTTGTAATTCACATTTTCCAAATTTTGAATGCCAGAATGAACTAATATTATAATTATCGTAACGTCGAATATTATGATTAACCAATTAGTCAAATTCTTAAATCTTATCTTTTTATCATCATTCATCGTTTTTCTAAATTCCTCGTTTAAACAAATCTAAAATATTATTTCACTTCCATGTTTATCGGAAAGTCTAGTAGATTATTTCGTAAAAATATTTACTTACGAACTTCAGCTATTACGACTCCGGTAATTGCCGCAAGAAAGAAAAACAACCGAAAGAACGTCATTTTGTGTTCATCCATCGAAGAGCAAGAAATATATTACTGATTTCCTCTTTCTTAATGATACTGATCTTTGCTCGCTGGAGATTCCCACTTATATAGCTTCAGCCAACATATTAAATCAGAAACAATGTCACGTCATCGGGGAGTAATACATGGTCATGGTAGTAGGTAGTAGCAATTATACAATTACAAAATTAAATGCAAATAAATTTAATTTACAGCATTATACAATTACAGAATTAAATGCAGATTAATTTAATTTTTTTCTTCGTTCTTTATCACTTCGTCTTTTTTTTTTGTTTAATCCTTA